AATCCAGTTTTAATAATGAACCTAAGACTGCATAAGCTAATCTGGCAGCCACACTACCAGTTTGTAGGTTCATACTGAATTTTTTTTTAAATATGTTATTTATTTATTTGACAGATAGAGATCACAAGTAGGCAGAGAGGCAGGCAGAGGGAGAGGGAGAAGCAGGCTCCCCGCTGAGCGGAGAGCCTGATGCGGGGCTCGATCCCAGGACCCTGGGATCATGACCCGAGCCAAAGGCAGAGGCTTTAACCCACTGAGCCACCCAGGCACCCCTGAATTTTTTTTTAAAGATTTTATTTATTTATTTGGCAGAGAGCGATCACAAGTAGGCAGAGAGGCAGGCAGAGAGAAAGGGGGAAGCAGGCTCCCTGCTGAGCAGAGAGCCCGATGTGGGGCTCAATCCCAGGACCCTGGGATCATGACCTGAGCTGAAGGCAGAGGCTTTAACCCACTGAGCCACCCAGGTGCCCCTATGCTGAATTTTTAAAAAAAAATAAACTGCTATTAAGTCTAATTAATTTTAATAACCTAAATATAGGTCTTATTTCTTATATCTTTTATAGGCAGTATGAAACAAGGATTAAAGATTACAGACACTGGAGCTAGAGAGCCTAAATTCAAACTCTGATTTTGCCACTTACTAGCTGTGTGATCTCAGATAAGTTACTTGACTTCTCTGTGCTTCAATACCTACCTTTGAGGGTTACTGAAAGTGCGAATGAGTTAATCCATGACGTGCTTAGACTAGTACTCCGTCCATCTTAAGTGCCATATCAGTTATAGCTTAATTTATTAACCATTTTTCACATTTCAACCACTTGAAAGATAGCTTCAATCAATAGTTTCAATTCTCTAAATACTTCTACACATTCCGGCTTGCAAATATTCACTGCAAATATGACAGGCATATCTTTTCTTTATCTGATGCTTATGTCCAAACTGTTAAAATGTAACGAAGAACAGCCGTCCAGAATGGCCACTGAAAACAGCCCCTCTTGGTAAACATTGATCCATTATTAATACTTATATAATACCTACTAGGTAAGCCAGCCCAAATTTCTGTCTTGGGATCACATGAGAAAGTGTTAAATACCTAACTGTAGTACTAACACCACAGTATCTCCGTAGCATATTCCGGACCATCTAGCCTAGAATCCTTGCAAAAATGAATTGTCCTGATATACATCAAAACGTTATATGTAATAATCATCTATGGATGGTTTTTTTTTTCCTATTATTTATCTTTATTTTCTAGATTTCTACAACTTGTACTGATGCTATAGCTTAAATAAAAACAAGGCACAGCATGGGCGTCGGGGTGGCTCAGTTGGTTAAACAACTGTCTTCAGCTCAGGTCATGATCCCAGTGTCCTATGATCAAGTCCCATGTCAGGTTCCCTGCTCCGAGGGGCGTCTGCTTCTCCCTCTGCCCCTCCCCAGCTCATTCTCTCAATCTCTCTCTCCCAAATAAATAAATAAAACCTTAAAAAAAAAAAAGACAAGGCAGAGCTTAAAGAAAACAACGAACGGTTATCAGCTAGCATGATTTACTTAGGGAACACAAGTGGCTTCTAGGGGACACTGTGTTCTCATCCTCTGCTCAGTCAGTTTTAGAATTTCACCAGGGATTACTGTCAAGTGTCCGCTGATGCCCTCAAACTCATGTGGCCTAAAGGTTAAGTCCAGAGAAATCAAACATTTCGACAGGGAGAATCAGAATTTGACTCTACCTTCAAAATATGTCCAGAATCCATTGCTTTCTGGCTATACACCCTAGGACCCTAATCCAAGCCAGCATCCCTCCCCTAGACTGTACTGATCAGGGCAAGACCTTCCTATCCGGTCTGTCTTACTTCACACTGCCTGCCTTGCCCTCCCCTTCCCTCCGACCCCCCCACCCCAGCCCCGCCAGTCTATTCTCCCACAGCAACCAGACAAAGCCTTTCAAAAGAGAAGTCAGCTCATTCACCCCCTCGCTCTGACTCTCCAGTGCGTCCCCCATCTCACTTAGAATAAAACACGCTCCAGGGGTCCTACCTGGGCTCTGAGAGTCTCCCTGACCTGGGCCCCACTGCTTCCCTGCTCTTCCTCCGACTACTCCTTCCCTCCCACTCCAATCCAGCCACACAGGCCTCCTTGTCAAGGCCAAGTTACACTCATACCTTGGGGCTCTTAAACCTGCTGTTCCTCTGCCTAGGACGCTTTTCTCCCAGATATCCCTGGCTAGATCCCTCACCTCTTTCAGACCTTGGCTGAAACTATCACCTCATCAGAGGCCTTCCCTGATCTCCTTGTGTCAAGGAGCAGCCCCCAGGCTCCCTTATCATAACCTTAGCCACCTTACCCTGCTTTTGTCCTTCTGAGCACATATCACCTAACGGACACTATTTCTCTACTCACCTGTTTGTTTCTATCTAGTTATTTTCTTTTTTCATGTTTCTACCCTTCAGGATAGAATCCTTGAGAGCAAGGACTTTTCCTGGTTTGTTTAGTGCTACATTATTGTTTTGTTTAGAGCTGTTTAGCTCCAAGAATTGTGCTAGGCATGGAGTAAGTGGTCATTGTGTATCACTAGAACATAAGCCCAGGACATAACAAAGTACTCTATGAACAACAGGAAGGTGGAGTAAGTTTTGTCAAAGAAAATGATTACCTGCCTTGTCAAATTCAGCAAGTATATTAAAAACCACTGGTGCTTTTTTTTTTTTTTTAAGATTTTATTTATTTGACAGAGAGAGATCACAAGTAGACAGAGTGGCAGGCAGAGAGAGAGAGAGAGAGGGAAGCAGTCTCCCCGCTGAGCAGAGAGCCTGATGCGGGGCTCGATCCCAGGACCCTGAGATCATGACCCGAGCCGAAGACAACGGCTTAACCCACTGAGCCACCCAGGCGCCCCACCACTGGTGCTTTTTTTTTTTTTTTAAGATTTTATTTATTTATTTGACAGATAGAGATCACAAGTAGACAGAGAGGCAGGCAGAGAGAGAGGAGGAAGCAGGCTCCCCGCTGAGCAGAGAGCCCGATGTGGGGCTCGATCCCAGGACCCTGGGATCATGACCTGAGCCGAAGGCAGAGGCTTTAACCCACTGAGCCACCCAGGCGCCCCACCACTGGTGCTTCTTAACTACAGAGAACAAACTGCTGCTGGAGGGGAGGTGGGCGGGGGATGGGCAGTAAGGAGGGCACTTGTGGTGAGCACTGGGTGTTGTATGTAAGTGATGAATCACTAAATTCTACCCCTGAAACTAATATTACACTATATATTAACAAAGTAGAATTTACCTAAAAACTTGAAACATAAAAACACACGTACAAACAAAACCACAAGACACTGGTGCTCCAATAAAAAGAGACTATGATACCATCAGAAAGATCAATGAACAATGAATGCCGGCTGCCACACCACCCAACCAGAACGAGTTTCCTAACCCAGTCCCCTGAGGTGGGAAAAAGGCTCTAGGGAAAGGAACAGAACAAGAATCCTGAACCAATTTTTTTAAACATTTTTATTTATTTATTTGGGAGAGAGAACAAGCAGAGGGGAGAGTCAGAGCGAGAGGGAGAAGCAGGCTCCCCACTGAGCACGGAGCCTGACACGGGACTTAATCCCAGGACCCAGAGATCATGACCTGAGCCAAAGGCAGACACTTGCTTAACTGAGCCACCCAGGCACGCCAAGAATCGTGAGCCAAGTAACAGGACAAGAGTTTGCCTCGACGTTTCCCACCACCTTAATAAGAGCCTGAGCTATGTGTGATGTGCCCCCTTTCTGGGAGGGGTCACCTGAGAGTGAGAGGTCTTGCTGAGATTCCTTTCCTACATCCTGTCCTGTCACTGCTCTGTCTAGAACCAGGTCCCAGACTCAGTCTGTGGCCTCCCCATGGCTTTCCCTTTCCAGAGAACCTTCTTCTAGCCATTCTCCAGCTACCACTGACGACCTAGACCCCTCCTTTGGCCACGCAAGTGTGAGCTCCTTCTACTTCCACACTGCACTCTGCCTTGGGCAGCACAAACCAATAAAATAAAAATAAATAAATAAATAACCAATTAAATAACTAGTGTGCAGAACCCAGAAGGGCCAGGAAAAGGAGCTGTCAACCACAAGGGGTGTTTGTTTATTTTGCTTTGCTTTTTATTTTTTTTTTAAGATTTTATTTATTTATTTGACAGAGAGAGATCACAAGTAGGCAGAGAGAGAGAGAACGGGAAGGAAGCAACTCCCTGCCAAGCAGAGAGCACGATGCGGGACTTGATCCCAGGACCCTGAGATCATGACCTAAGCCGAAGACAGAGGCTTTAACCCACTGAGCCACCCAGGCACCCTTTGCTTTGCTTTTTAAAGATTAAGTCAGTCACTGTCTCAACCAAAAAAAAGTAACTTTCTCAAAAAAGAAACATTCCAGTACAATGAAAAGAACCCAGGGTGAAATCCAGTCCTCTCCTTCACTCCCTGTGTGAAATTTAAAGAAAAGCTCTTACCTGTAGCATCGGTGTAGATACTAAGGTAGATAATGCAAGTCGAACAGGACTGTGCCTGGCGCACAGTAAGTATTCAGAAAGTGCTAGCCAAGCCTATTTCTGAAAGTTGTTGACTAAATGCAAGGATTTTTTTTACCTTGGGTAGGTTGGCTGGTTGGCTGATTACATTAGAAAACACATGAAGGGGGCCGCCTGGGTGGCTCAGTCAGCTAAAGTGTCTGCCTCCAGCTCAGGTCATGATCTCGGGGTGCTGGGATGGAGCCCCACGTCAGGCTCCCTGCTCAGCACAGAGTCTGCTTGTCCCTCTCCCTCTGCGCCTCCCCCCAACTTGGGCTCTCTCTCCCTCAAATGAACAAATAAAATCTTAAAAAAAAAAAAAAATTAAGTACTTAGCACAGTGTTTAGTTCATCAACAAGTATTAACTTTCCTCCATCTCCTGCAGCGGTGCAGGAATTACGGAGACTTCGGACACCATGCGATTCCATTGGGATGGCCAGGCTTCGCTGTACCATATACTTACCATTTAGGTAATTTAAGCTTTTCTGTTAATGCCTCTGGTGGCTCCCCTGGTGCTTGCTGTCTTGGAAACAGGCACTCGCTATCTTTCAATGGCAGCTGCCTCTTGACCTGGGCAGAATATAAACAGAAAGCAAGACATCGGTAAAACGGGAACTGTACCAAGACCGAGCCGAAGGGAGGGGTGATTTCCCTTTTCCTTTCAGATGGTCTCAAGGCAGACCGCACTTTCTTAAGTGACTTAAGTGGACTGCCTCCACAGTCCCCAAAAGTCTAAAACTCATGACATCTTACAGCTTGGGAGGGATCTCAGAAATCAACTAGTTAAATACCCTCAATTTAAGGAAAAAAAACTGAAATTTGGAAAGGGTGAGTCACACAACTGCTTAGAGCTAAAGCCAGGATTCCACTAAAAGTACAATTTTCTAGAAGATGGGTAAGGAAAAAAACCCAAACATCTGTGGAGTACCTACCACACCCTAAGCAATATGTTTTATATTTTATACAAGACAATAATACAATAGTATCACCCCCTAAGAAAGAATCTAAATTTCAAGAAGTCAGTGATTTGTCCAAGGTCTTACAGCTTGCTAATAAATGGCCGTCAGGATCTAAACTGACCCCTGACTGACAAAAAAGCCGCTTCACCAGGCTGGCTCTCGTCGGGCTGCCTTCTAGATGTGGTCCTTCAGGAGGCCCTTGAACCACCCAGTATCAATTAGAATCAAGGAGAGCTTCTCTGTCTGCAAATTACCCTCTGGTTTTAAAACGAGCGTTCTGCCAGAGACCCGAAAGATCTATTAACCCAATGAGTATTACCCCTAAAGTTTCAGAAGAATTTCTGGAGGTAGAAGATCTGGGGCAAACTTCTGTCTGTCCTTTTCTTGCCAAAGAAAGGAAAGATACCTTCTACACTGGAAGTAAAGCTTTTATACTTGGATCTTAAACACAAACTAGGTCTGCATATCCCACAGACTACCTTGTGACCTCTTTCCAAGGCTGCTGGTTCCTTTAGTCTGACTCCCACACCTCCACTACCAACCCCATAACACCCTGCCTCTGTGCTCCTAGGGAGTGAGAAGGCTGAAAATAGATAACTGAGTGATAGCTTTTTCAAATGGCTTTAAAAGAAACATGAGGGGGCCGCCTGCGTGGCTCAGTTGGTTGAGCATCCAAGTCTTGGTTTTGGCTCAGATCATAATCTCAGGGTTGTGAGATCGAGTCCCTGGTCAGGCTCCTCATTGATCCTCTCTCTCCCTCTGCCCCTCCCCACCTTTGCACATGCTCGCTCTCTCAAATAAATAAAAAAGTAAATCTTTAAAAGAAAGATGAGAGCCTGAAGCCTCAAGCCAGTAAGACCATAACAAAAAAGAATGAGTGACAGGCAATAAAATAGAAAAGCAGGAAAAAGGATCTACACCAGGGTCAGCACCTAAGGGATGGCCTGAGTGGATGTGGGATAAGTTTTAGCCTCCTCCCCCCCACATTTTTTAAAAAGTCAGTCTAAGTACACCACGTATAATTGCTATTTCAATCTGCTTTGTCTCCACGCGGCCCAACAATGACAGCAGCACCTCTGCGGAGAGCTGCTGTCCCCACCGCCTCCTGCCACATTTCCTGGCAAGCTACTAAGGCCCAGGGGGCTATTCCTTTCAAAACAGGATAGAATGCGCTGTCCAGAATCAAACAAACAGGAACTCCCGATGATCTGGATTTATTTTCAACTGTCTACATTCTCTCCTTATTTCTAAGGGATGAAAGCAAGCAGAAAACAAGTTCTTTCCTTTGCTTCTGAATGTCACTTATTTCTTGCATCCTTGGCGTACTGGCCTTCTGTCTCCAGAACAAGAGGATGACTGTAGACTCCTCAGGCTTTGCGGTGGTGCAAATTCAGAGCTCTTCCCACCCCGCGAGACCCGCCCATAGCACTTCCCTCTGGTACCCCTTCTGCTGTTTCTCGTCGTTCACTCTTGCTAAAGACAGTGGTGGCAGTCTGTGTGTGTGGGTAGTGTCTGTCTGTCTGTCTGTCTAGAAGCAGAGATGAAAGGACCCTTACAGTTCATGGGGAGTCCAGCTGCCTCATGTGCCAGAGGAGAAAGTGAGTCCCGCTTCTCTAAATGAGAAGAGACTTGGCCAAGGTTGCGAAGCAAGTTAAAATGAACATGGCTGCGTTCACCTGAGCTCATACGCTGCACTGAACAAAATGCGACCAATCACCCTTATCTGACTGCTGCAGACTGAAAGTCTCTTAAATATGTATCACATTTGTTCCCAAAACACTTTGATAATGGATAAAAATGCTATTAGATAATTCTGGCTCCAGTATGATCCTCCAACAGATAACAGCGATAAACTCTGGATAAAATGTAAAAAACTATCTGAAGTGAACAAAGTCTGGCAGATCTAGGAGAGGAGTCAAAAACTGGGAGAAGGGGCTGGGATGGGACAGTTCCCCAGGTTCGGAGCTTTCATCAGAGGGCTGACCGGCGGCAGAGCCAATCAAAAAACAAACCCCAGGCTTTCTCTCTGGAGGAACCACAGACAGAGTCCAGAGCAGCCACAGGTAAGAGGAAATAAGAAAGAAGAGGGCCAGAGAAGCAAAGTCCCAGGCGCTCTGTGTGAACTCCATCCAAACCTCTAGCTGAGCCCGGAACCGTGCATGCGCAGGGCAGAACTCCAGCACTTCAGCCAAGGACAGAAGCATTGGACTAAGGTTTGAGCGCACACCTCCCTCCCCACAGGGGAGACAGACCCTGCAGAGGTAACTGTCTGCTAAAATAAAAACATCACCAGAAATCAGGGTCTCCCCAGCATAACATCCACATGCATTCCTGTTCGGGCTACAGTCCCAGATTACATGAAGAACTAGAGAAACTACATCCATTCGCAAGGAAAAAGATCATTAGCAGAGGGCAACTCCAAGATGATCCAAATATGGGAGTTACCAGACAAGGATATTAAAGCAGCAATTACAGCTAAGCAGAGGAAGTGAAAACATTTTTATTTGAAATGTGGCGATTTCAGGGGCACCTGAGTGGCTCAGTGGGTTAAGCCTCTGCCTTTGGCTCGGGACATGATCTCAGGGTCCTGGGATTGAGTCCCACGTCGGGCTCTCTGCTCAGCGGGGAGCCTGCTTCCCCCTCTCTCTCTGCCTGCCTCTCTGCCTACTTGTGATCTGTCAAAAAAATTAAAAAAAAAAAAAAAAAAAAGAAATATGGCGATTTCAGAACAGAAATGTAGTACCTGAAACAGCCACACAAAATCCTTGAATGGGCTTAAGAACAGGTTGGTGATGGCAGAGAAAAGAGTCCATGATATTTGCAGATCAAGAGAAATTATCCAAACTGAAAAACTCTGGGTTATCCACAGTCTCTACAAGAAACACCCCTCAGCCCTTCACCGGAGTGTACACAGTGACACCTTGACTTTCTGTCACCAGAGAGAACCAGACTAACTAAGGATCACGCAGACACTACGCCCCAGCAATTCTGCTGCAGCAGGTCACCCCCTTACCAATGCAATAACTTTTTGAGGTCTTCCAAATGTGAGCCAGGAACCAAGGTGAAGGTGGAAAATGAGAGGGCGGGATAAAAATTTAAACCGGAGAGCGCCATACTATCCCAGTCCTAGGAGTCCAACCTGGTGACCCGTTGTGCCTGCTGAGAAGCAGAAAGCAAGGAGACAATCATTTTTTCCGCTAGAATTGTTGAGGGAGCGTTCTCAGGAGTGTTCAGGAAAGAAAGCGAGGAGGGATTTTATGTTTTTTCTGCCCTTTGCAATCTCTTCACCAAAGAGCCAACCCGTAAACAGGCTGACGGCAGGACGGAGTGAGCCCCGTCCGTCACTGGGTCTGGGGCTGAAAAGTGGCAGCAGCTCGGGGAGAGCCAACCTAGTGCCACCCCGCTGGTAGAAGCAGCTCAACCTGAACGCCATCCCTGACCAGCATCACTCAAGTCACTTCATGCTGGAGTTCAAGACTTGGGAAAAACACAGGCTGCAGAAGACAGGTCTGAAAGCCCTGCTTTTTGCTCAATGCTCCCTCCGCCCCATCCCACCTGCCCACGAGGCGGGAGAATCCCGAGCAAGTGGGAAACTGGAGAAAGGGTGAGGAGCCTGGACTAGGGAGTTCACAGCCACCTGACACACTGTCAAGTTCACCCAAGTCTTTTATACTCATCTGGGTCTCCGTTTCATCAGCCGAACAAAACACTCGAGACAAAATGATATTTAAGGGCCTTTCCAATAACAACATGTATGAATCTTTAACATGCTATCTTCATGTGTCCTTGAAGAAATTATAAATAGGTCCCAAAGGCAAAAGTGGTGACATTCCAAGTCACAAGACTTATTAGAATACCTCAGGATTATACGATTACTCATTTTTAAAGAATAAATTAACAGTCTTGTTATTAATTCTTAAATTTTACATTAATAACAGAGATCAATACCTATCTATGAAGGAGGTCTGCTAAAATAATGTTCAATTTGGGCCCCCTGGGTGGTGCAATTGGTCAAGCGTCCGACTCTTGGTTTCGGCTCAGGTACATGATCTCAGGGTCATGAGATCGAGCCCTGTGTCAGGCTCCACGCTCAGCACGGAGCCTGCTCGACTTTCTCTCTCCATCTCCCTCTGCCCCTTTCCACCACTCACATATTCTTTCTCAAATAAATAAATAAATAAACATTTAAAATAATAATAATAATGTCTGACTCTCCCAGGATAACTCTTTTATCCATGTAACTCTTGGGACTAGAAGGCAGATACTCTTATCCCGCACATGACAGATGAGACAACAGATTAAGACCTGGGACTCTTTTATCGTAACAGACAGGACTAGAATCCAGTAATCCCATTTCCAAGCTTCACCAAAGAAACCAAAGCAAGCTTACCAGAGAAACTTCACCTAACAAAGAACCAAGAGTATAAACGAGATTAAAATTAGAAAGAAAGGATTTAAGAACTTCCAAACACTTTGGAACCACTTATTAATAAACAATTGATAAGACCAGCTTGTGATTAGAACATCAATTTAGAAGCGGGCCTTCAAGGAC